CCGCGGCCTGCGGGCACTCACAGCTCACCGGCAACACCGGCAGCTGCACCGCGTCTCTTTCTGTTCCGCGCTCTCCACCGCTCGCGGGAGTCCTTTCRCTCTCGGCRGTCGCACCTTTCGRGAAATGCGGCAGCAGRACYMGCACAACGCCTTTTCCTGWGCAGCGTGAGGCACASAYTGAGTGTGGAGGGACKGAGRCGCCTTTYGTGKCTGYAGAAAGTGGCCCAAAGCCTCCGCAGGGMTATCGCTCCGGTAACAGCATGGGATGGCGTTACAGCTCCCGGGGAATCGTAGGCTGAGGACGAGGAAGGGAGGCGCATCCCAGCACGGCTCAGGCATGGATGTGCCCACCAGTCTGGCAGTCCCACGACTGAAAAGGAGGCGTTGTAGTGCTCTCTGTCTGGAATTCCCTCACGCTCGTAACCTGCGAGCAGTGTAGTGTTTATTTCGTTCTTGTTGGATGCCACATCAGGGCTGCTTTGCTGGCTGAGCAAGGAGGTCCTCAGGAACTGGAAATCGCTCCGCCCCGAGCCGCTGCTCAGGCACATCTCGGAGCTGTAAACCGGCATCAAAGTGCCCGTGCCGCCCACGTCCCCGACCTTGCTGGAGAAGTTTCAGTCTGCGTAGCAGTGGGAAGAGGAAGGCGATAGTTGTGCTGGGATATGAGTCTTGCAGAGCAAGGCTGTCACCAAGGGGAGGACTCACAGGAGGAAGAGCGAACTGATGACGCCCAGGGAGATGATGAGGTAGGTGGCGAACATTTCCTCCTTTCTTTCGTTTGTCTGCTGCTGCCTTTCCACAGGAATGTAGTCGAGCTGCTGGAAGGTGTAGGAGAAGCCGTGCGCCAGGGCAATGCAGGGGGTGGTGGTGGTGGCGGAGTGTGGCAGCTGCCTCTTGGCTCACACCAACACAATGAGCCTCTGTTCCCCTACTCCACTGCTTCCACCTTGACAAAAATCGCCAACATTATAAACCTGCCTTTATACAAGTCCTGCTCCAGCTCACAAAGCATCGCCATAGCCTTACATAGATCTGCTCCAACAGACCCACTTCCTTGTGCTGCCTGCCTATGATGACCTCCTTATTTGTCCTCTGTCTTAACATCACCTCTATGAGGGTGTGTTTCTTGTCTTTCCCAGGGACAGAGGTCAGAGTCAATGGTCTGTAGCTCCTGGAGTCTTCCTTTCTCCGCTTTTTAAAAACAGCAGTAATGTTTCTCTTTTCCCTGAAACTGAGGACTTTGCATGACTACCATGACATTACAAATAGGGTGGAGAGTGTCTTGAGAAAATCATCAGCCAGTTCCTCGGGCACAGGG